AATTTTACTTTATTTAATTGTTCAAGATTGTCCAAGATTGTCCAAAGTATTGTTCAAAGCTGTCGCATGACAACACTGGGTACATCTATGTGCCCACTGACGAATTTGGATTTGTGCGATGATTGATGCTTAATTAGATTTTGTATGTTTATTCATTATTTATATATGACATAATTTGAATTTTTTTTAAGATAATTAAAAGATAATGAATCGATTAGTATATACTCTCCTCTCGATTTACTAAAATTTTAATACGACAATCAATACTGAGTATTACAGTGCTAAAACTTCACTAAATCATTATTATGCTATAGTGAATTTTTTTTAATTCACTCAAATTCATTTTACTATTAATGAAAAGTTTGATGTAAAACCACTAGTTCACAAAAAAAGTTAACTATGTAATTGTAAAAACTTAATAAATGAATATATTCTTCATTTATTAGCTAGTTCAATTTATGATAATAAAATAATAAATGAAATCATTAATTAATTAATTTAACTTAAATTGTTGCTTTAAATTCAAGTATTTAATGATTAACTAGATTAATTTCACTACTTTTTTCTTGCTACTACTACTAAAAGATAGAATTTTATATCTGTTAGGACTTGTCTGGAACTACATATAATATTGATTAAAAATAATCAAAGTCTTTTATACAAAACCAAATGAAATACTAGAATATCAAATATTTCAAACAGTCAAAACATTGCTAATTTTAACTATGACACAATGAACAGAATTGTTGTCTTTAATAAATAATAATTTGTAAAAGAAACTGTAATATTTATTCATTAAGAAGTACTGATTTTGAATATCTATAAGTGATTTACATTACAATGAATATTTGAAAATATGAATTTTCCAATATCTACTATTAGTAATTTGTCCCAATATAAATAATTTTTAAATTACTATACATATAACTTAGAAAATATTATCCCTCAAATTCTTGATTAGTACAAAGTAATGCAGGTCTAGTAATGTGACTACAGATGACTAAAAAATTATATGATCATCACGAATAAAATCTTAGAGAAGAAAATAAACAAATAAAGTTTTTATAATCATATTAATAATAAATTAATTATATACAAAAACATATACTTATATTGTGACTTTAATAATGATAAACAATTCTATTTAGTATATTGTGCAATAATGAATAAATTCTAAAAGCACTAATTATTAAAATTGCATAAGTCTCATAACTTGTTACAAGATAAGAAAAGGTCATAATAAAATATTATAGTATTCTTGCCAAAGAAGAAAAATGTTAGCAAAATTCACAAAGAATGTAACAAAACTCATTACAAGAGAATTATTATAAACAATAATATATGTTAAAAAAGAAATATAGATGAATGTAGTGTTAGAAAGCTTCAAATTAGTAATAGAAAATAAAAAAATCTGACAGAAATAATAAACTTAACTGTAGTTATTCAAAACCCAAGTGTTTAGAAAACATGTAACAAAACTTTAATAAAGAAAATTGCAAATAATATTGCATGTTTTATCTAATAAAAAGGAAGAAAAGAAGTATATAATATTAGATAGTGTCTAATTAGGGATAGAAAATAAGAAAAATAAAAAAACTTATATTAATAATTGCTTAGCCTTATATAATGTAAAAAAAAAATTAAAGAATAAAAGTGTAAATTATAAATATATATAACAAATGTATATATAATGACATATTTACCTTTGTCAAAGTTATCTTTTATATAAGTATTTTGTATTTAAATTAAAGCATCCAAATTGCCCATATTCACAAATCTAAAGCTTAAAAGATTACTATATTTATTGTTATAAAAAATATCTAACAACTCTAATAACTTTTCTACTTTGCCCAAGTCTAATAAATCAAAATCGTGAAAAGTAAATATGAATGATCAAAGTGTATTTGCAACCTTTGTTATTACTAGTTTAATAAACAATATTGTTGAGTGCACAAGTAAATCATCTACTCAAATATCTCTATCCAACAATAATAGGTCTAAACTACAAGGCAAAACTGAATCTAAATTGCAAGAACTTAAACTAAACCAGATAGTTAAAAGTTTGAATTAAAATCACTAAAATAGCTAGAATCATATGAGGAACCTGAGTCTCAAGAAGAATTTGAACCTGAATTAACAGAAGAATTTGAACCTGAATTAACAAAAGAATTTGAACCTAAATTTGAATCTCAAAAAACAGATATGAATGAATATATTAAATTTTATACTTATCTTGAATTGAAATTATATAAGGACTGGATTAAAAATATTCTTTCAAATATTACAGATGCTAATTATCTTTATAGAGACAATTGTCCAACCTTAGAATTTAAACTAAATAAAAGATATTTATATGATTATTATGGAAAGCTAAAGTCAACAGCTTGCACAAAGTTTACAAAAAATAATTTACAAAAATTAATGAAACCAAAGTCTACAACTATCTTAAATACCAAATCACAACAACACTTGTCAAAGAATGTAAAAATACTTATCTTCAAGCTTTGAAATTACAAACTCCTCTTCTCTTTAAGATTACTTCTTCCAAACTACAAAAAAGCTTTCTATTATATTCACATTTGCAAAGACAAAGACTGCAAAATTCTACCCCAAGATACTAAACACAATTTCTCTAATCTATTTACTTCTTTTTTGAAAAATCTTTTAAAACTTTCTTAGTACTACCCAAAGAAGAAACTCCTAAAACTACTTTAATTAGCCTAGATCTTTCTATTTTTCACTTAGAAAGCCAATACTCTGCAACTTTTACAAAACCTTTTTCAATACAAATATGAAATAAACTAGCTACTAAAGCAGATCAAGAGTTTGCTAAAATCAACAACACAGAAATAAATCCTAAACAAACTATATACTTTTTTACTCTTACTTTAAAGCCTACCTTAATGCAGCATCAAAAAATAGTAATATTTCAAAATTTAAGCTTAAAGAAGCTTTAGAAAAAACTATCTTCCCAACTATTAACCCTCATACACTTGCACATATTATCCTTTTTTACAATATTCAAAAATATTGATCTAAATAGAAAACTTGTAAAATACTAGAATTAGCAATAATAAAAAAAATACTTGAAGAAGCAAATATTTTATTTTTTTTTCAAGATAAGACCATGCTCTTATCTTTATTAAACTTAATAAAAACTTTTTACATGATTGAAAAAGGTTTTATATTTTAATCTAGTACTAAGAATAAGAACTCAGACTAACTAAGTGCTTAATAAAAGCAAACCTAGTGTTTTATCTGCAGCCTAAACCTCAAATATTTTATTACAAAGAAACAAACTTATTAATATAAAAAACAGTATTATGTATTATGGAATAGATATTACAAAGAAATTGCCCTACTATGGAAGCAAAATACAATAAGTATTTATATATCTGCAAAAATAGGAATAGAACTGCAGCAAACAGAACCTGACAAAGCATCACCATGGCAATGGTATACTTACAAAGAAATAATAACATTTTAACTAATCCCTATGTTTCAACAAAATATTGAATTAATATTTGTAGAAATTTAATAATACTATGAAAATGAAAAAATCTGATATTTAAATACAGAAATATACCTGAAACCAGATTTCTATACAAAGGAATATCTTTATTAGAAGATGAAGAAGACTTATGAGACAATTACCTGCAATAATAGATCAAGAATCCAAAAATCTTAATAAACAACCAGAACAGACTTCTAGAAAAGACATTCTACGATTTGAAAATTATAAGGAAGAAATGCAAGAAAGATCAATGAATTAAAGAAACAACTTTGCAAAATATTAAAATTTTGAGATATGCAATTATTTGCCAATAACAAGCAATATATAGTACATTATGTTAGCAATTTTAATAATTTATTACAAGATTATTTCATTATAAGCACTTTTAAATACCTAATAAATTAGTTAAATAATGGTAATTTATAGGCCTTTATTATTACTAAAAAATTAATAATATATTGCTGATATTAGCATTTTATTAGCATAATTATTGACAAATATATTTATAGTATAAAATTAAATTATAGTAATAAAATGCTAATGAAGTACTTATATTTGCAAATGTTTGCATTTAATAGTACATTATCAGCACTGTTAAATTGCTAATTTTTAGCAAGTTCAATTTTGACAGATTTTTGTAAAGAAGTTCGAAAAGTAGATAAAGTCATAAACGATCATTATGCAATAAAATACTTATCTAATTTGAACCACAAGATAGAATAAACGTAGCAACACTAGTAGAAAAATCGTCGACATTATACGAAATAAGAATACGACCAGAAGTATGGAACAAAATACCGAATCAAATCTACCTATATGATACTGATAGATTTATTCAAAACGGAAGAACATACAACACAGTCAAAATAAGGAAATTAAAAGATGAACAATGCGTAACCAATCCTGAAACACAATTAACAGCAAAATCGAATATCTTTATTCATAATATTATCACCATATGATGATCTGAAAATCAGAAAGAAAATTTAAAAGAAAACGTTACGATAACGGCAAAATAAAAAGAAATACAGTACACAATTCGACCAAATTAGGAAATACCTGGCGAAATCTATCGACTACGTTGATCGATGCTTAATATTAAGCGTTAATAGCCGTTTCGTCAATTGTCAGGATCGTCAATTCAAAATTAGTTTCGTCAAGCATCAATTCGTATTCATACTAGCAGATCTTGAATGAATACATATTCACAATAAATGAATTATCATTAGCTATCTAATTTTAAATGATAACACAGTAGTATGGATGGCACATGGTTTAAATCACTGATTTTTTATTTAAATCAATATAAAGCTGATTTAGAAAATTTATTTCGGTGTTCAAATTAATCGATTTAATTAAATCAAGGACTGTTTTTTTTTATATATGAAAAATAAATCTAAAAATTATTTAAGAACATAAAATCGATTAACATACAAATTAACACACGATAATAAGAAAACAAGCAACCCTAAGATAAAAATAAAAAATGATTGAAAAATTATTAGGAAACATCTACATTCAATCATTTTTTATAGGATTAATTTTAGCAGCAGTTTTTTTTAAATTATCGAGGCGAACTAAACTAGTAAGCTTTTTTCTCATTAATATTTATTTATGACTTTGTTGGTAATATAAATTATTAACTTTTTTAGAATGAACCACCTCTTGCTTATTATCGATTTCCAATTATTGGACATACCTGGAGTTTTTTAACGGATTGCGAAAAGTTAATTTTAGAATCTCGAAAAAAGGTTCTTTAATAAATAAATAAATTAAAATAAATATTTCTTCTTTTGAGATCTAATAAATTATGATCTCTTAATAGTATGGGGAAACATTTTCGTTATATGTATTCGGTCAAGTAATAACAATAGTCGGAAAGGAAACAACTCAAGAAGTATTAAGAAAGGATCAAGTATTTGGTTTTCACGAAGCTTTTAAATTGGTAAAAAAAATCCAATAATCCTTAGAAGATTATATTACTACACATTCTAAACCATTCTTTCATTTTAAAAACAGCAAGTGCCTTTACATCTTATGTTCAGAAACATGAGTCTCGATAAAAATAATAATTTAGTAAGAGACTATTGTACAGGAGAATTAAAAAACCTTCTAAGTAGGTTACAAAAAAATGTTATTAAGGCTATAGAACTTTATATCGGTGAATGTGTTGGTAAGTTTTAAAATTTCAATTTATAATTTTTAATATGAGATTTAAAAGGAATTTTCATTTATTGTTAGAACCGAAGGTTATTCTTAACCCACATAAAACTGTAGCAGATATTGTTGCAGTTCCAATTGCTAACATTATTTTGGGTGAAGTATGTAATGAATTATTTTTTTATGTAAAATTTCTTTTTTTTTATCATTAACTAAATTACTCTTATAATAAAATTAGGAATGTTACATGCATGAGGATGTATTAGAAGCTATTAAAAGCATAACATTTTCAATTATACAATTTATGTTGTTACCACCAATTTTATCTTTTATACATCCCTGGATTCATCGACAATTTATCTCGTAAGTATATTTATTCTACATTTTTGAAAAAAAATTTAAAAATTTTAGAAATCAATTATTCATCAGAGAAATAGCCTTAATTATTTACTTCTTTATTGCGTAACAGAATTCTTATAAGATTTGGCTGGAATCCGACTTTAAAACACAGACAAATAATCATTAATCGTATTAAGCCGGTTGTTGAAAAACGTCTCTATGATAAAAAGAGATTAGGTGATGCTTGGATTGCTCCGGTAAGTTATCTACTGTATTTATTATTACGTGAATATTAAATTATTTAGCCACTTTCTTCGATTTAAACAAAAAAAAAAATAGTTAGATGGACTACAATACTATTTAGATGATCCTGAAATAACTCCTGATCTCGATCCAAATAATATAAATTATAATTATATTGCCGAAGCGATTTGTGGTTTTGCTTTTGCTGCTACGTTAACTACGTCTGATGGTGCTGCTCATGCTTTATATGGTTTGTCATATTCTATTTTCATTATTAAATACTTAATATATGGGGTGAGTCAATAGAAACGCACCAAATCTTTTTTAATGAAATTTTTTTAAATTTTAAACAAATATAACTCAACAAAAACTTGATCAAATCTAGTAAATTTTTTTTTAAATAATTTCTATAAGTTATTAGAATTATTTTAAAAAAATTTTTATTAAATTTGATTAAATTATTGTTAAGTTATTTTTGTTCAAAGTTTTAAAAAAATTTACTTAGAAAAAATTTGGTGCGTTTCTATTGACTCACCCCCATATTTGATTCTAATTAATTATATTTTTATTTGAATATTAGATTTAATAGAAAGAAAACAACAATATTGGCAAGAATTATATCAGGAGGCTCAGGAAATTAATAAACAGCATAATGGAATTGAGCTTACATCTAATGATATTGCCAGAATGGTGAAGTTGGATAGTTTTGTTAAAGAATCTTTAAGATTTTCTGGTGGTTTAGTTGGTTTGCAGCACATATGCCTTTCTAAACCCTATTATACATTTGCGAATGGATATCAAATTCCTAGTGGTAATATTTTTTTCTTAATTTTATATTCTCTAATTTTAAACCATAACAAATTTCCTAATTACTTAAAATCATAGGTCGCTTAGTTAATGTAAGTTTAAGTGACACAAATAATGACGAAGAGCTTCAAGGTCAAAATCCCACAGAATTCTATGGATATCGTCATCTGAATCGTAATTCTCCCGCGACAAAAATCGAGCGTAATTTTTTGACATTTGGAGGCGGAAAACATGCGTGTCCGGGAAGAGCTTTAGCAGTTAATGAGATTAAAGTGTTTTTACATAAAGTTATGTTAAAATATGACATTAGAGCAGGTACTGGAGATATTAAAAGAAGATATTTTGGACCTGTATCTGGGCCAAGAAAAGCTAGTATTGTGTTTGAGAATAGAAAGGAAATTTTAAATTGAGGGTTATGACGTAATGTTAGTGTTCCGGCTTGCTGCGGCTTATTTGTCACACCGGCGTGCTGTGGCTTATAAGCTCGTGTAACTATACAATTTAATCTAAAATTTAATTTAAGTACAAAATATATATTTTAAAATAATATTATAATTAGTGTTCCTAGGTCCGGTTCGGGTCCGAAAGAGTCCGAGTCCGATTAAACCCGGACTCTAACTATGAATTTTGCGGATCTTCGAACTCGAACCGGAACCGAGCTTCATTGTCCGAACTCGAACCCGGACTCAAACATGACTGATAGTTCGGTCCGAGTTCAGTTCAGAGTTCACAAACTTGTTCGGGTTCGATGGGGTAACCCGGTTGATATTTAGGTAGAGCTTCGATCCTATTTTTTCAAGACTATCCCTATAAGAAAAATGATACGGGTTGTGGTATGGGTTGGTTTCGGGAATGTACGGAGTGGCACGGATTGTGTGGCACACACAGGCACGTTTTACGGAATGGCACGGTAAAAATGGCACGGACATTTCGGCAAGGGGTGGCACGTTATACACGTCATACGGAGCAACACGTTCAGGTGACACATATGTGTACGTTGCACACGTGTTGGCTCGTTTCGCGGAGAGCGAAAGATCAATAAATTATTTTTTTTAAAAAAAAGTGCAATATCTCATAATTTCACTGCTCTGAATGTCTTAACAAAAAAGATTCCTTACAAAATTTTACTTCACATGCAGTTAGCTTGTTCGTATTATATTGATTACTAATATAAACTTTATGTTTTAACATGTTTGTTATTTGTTATTGCGGTGGCACGTGAATTTCGTATGCCAAATCCCGTGCCGATTCGACTAGTAAACTTCTGCAAAACCCGTACCATTTACGGTCCAATTGGCACGGGCATACGGTCCCACACGGACCACCGAATCCCTACCAACTCGGACAAATCCGGATCTTGACCCGTGCCACAAAGGCCCGTGCCTATCTGAAACCAACCCGTACCGATCCGAACCATTTTTCTTATAGGGTATCCGAATTGAATTCGGATTCTCTTTCATGAATTCGGTTATAGTCGAATTGAGTAAATTCGAATTTGATTCGAATTCAATCCGGAAAAATCATTGATCAACCAAGCTGGTGGAAAAAAATTTTTTTAATATACAATTTTATTTTATTTTATTATCATTACCGGATGCTAGACCCGCCATTAAACGACGAGTTAAACTTTAACATCTCTATTGCCATAGCATAGCGAACTTTCATTGTGATTGGTTAGATTTTGGCGATCATCTCATGATTTTATTGGCCGATCGACCAATCAAATTGTGAGGTGATAGTAGAATAACGACGGTATGTACAGTAGCATTAATATTGGTCTTCAAAGTTTTACTTAAATATTAAGACACATCATTATGTATATAAGAAATACCCTTAATACTTTTTATTATTTCCTAGAAAGAAGAAATATTAATTTTAATATTTCGAGATCAACAAATTTTATATATTCTATAAATAAACACATCCTTTTCGTCTTTCCGTACATTTTCATCTGATGCCGCGAATGTTGCTGAAATTTGAGGCTCTCGATTTAAAAATATAAACCCTACAAGATCAACCTATACTCTTTTGCTAATGTTGCTAACTTAAATCCTAATTTA